AATTTTGTATTTCCTTAATTGGCTTTGATTATTATAATTTTTTTTTCTGATTTAGATTTTAGATGAAAATCATGATGTAATTAGTCAACAAGCCATTATTTCGCTATTAAATGATGATGACAATATATTTTATACAAATTGTTGTCGAATTGCATCTATAATCCAACCTATCAAAGAAGCAATACATAATCTGGAAGCATGTACTGCAAATCTTGCTGATTGCTTTGTTAGTATAGTAAAGATAGCCACGGCTATTAACAAAATTCCTTCGAATAATGCTTTTCGTGAATCAGCTATCAAAATATTTAATAAACATTATGCTGAATATGAAATTGAACCATATCTGCTTGCCTATCTTCTTCATCCGGGTTATAGAGGTACCGTACTATCTTTCAAGTTTAAAACTAGTTTTATAGAAAATTCTTTATCTATATATCTTGAAACAGTTTAATTTCAGGTTTTTTATTGGCTATTATGGCATAGATTAACTTTATATCAAGATATGTGTAGCAAAGCCATGTATCTTGTATTTTAGTAATCATTTACTTTAAATAGTCAATCTATAAATAAAAAAAAGTATACAATGCCAAGTAAAAAACTTGAGTGAACTTTATTAGATAGTGATAATATTTTATTTATTTATTTACAGTATCAATTCATTTATATATATTTTTAATTTAATATATAGGTCTTGGCCTACATAAAGGAATGTTCCGACGAATTTGTGAGATAGCCGCCAAATTCTATAAAAGTATGCACAATGATGATGTTGCATGTGGAATACTTACTACACAATTAATTAATTATAAAAGCAGAGATTACCCATTCGACTTTGGTTACGATTCATCTAAAACACCTAGTTTATGGTGGGGTGTAATAGAGGATGATTACCTCTATCTCCAGAATCTTACAAAAGCTATTTTTGCAGTTGTACCATCGCAGGCAAGTTGTGAATGTAATTTTTCTATTTTAAGATGGTTATATGGCACCTATAGAACATGTTTGTCTCCAAAAAAAATCGAAAGTATGGCTCAAATTCATTCATTTTATATTTCTAACTTTAAAAATGAGCTTCATTATTATGGGAAAGAGTTGTCTGAAGGTGAACTACATGATAGTGTATTAGATTTAACTACTTATGCTGATATGGAAAATAATAGTATAGAATTAGAACAAGATGAAGATGTTTTGGAATCTGCTCAGTCAAATAATGACAAACTTGAAATCGGCCTAATAGTCGATTTTTCACATGCAAATTTTGGTAGGCAAGGTAATGCCGAAGAATTATCTTATACAAAACAAAAAAGTAGTAATATAGAATTCGATCCTGTAGCAATTGTAGAAAGAGAATTTCAATTTTTTAATGACAATTTATTATAAATATTATGAAATTGTATTATCATAAATAAAAATATTACATACCATTTTTTAATATTGCAATTGTTATCATCACGAATTACTGTAGGTTCAAAATATAAACGTAAGACATTCATTCATTAAAAAAAAAAAAAAAAAAAAAAAATATATATATATATAATATTCAACATTGGCTATTAGTTATTAAGAAAGATATACACGTAAGATATTCATTAAATATCGTTAAAAAAAGTTCTTCAATATAAAACATGTTAATAAGACATCTAACGCTGCTGTTATCAAAATAGGGATTGGATTGAACTGTATTAAAATAAAATTATTTTTTTCAAAAAATACTGGTATGGATTATGCCCGTTATCGAAATCAAATTCAGATTAGTAAACGATTCATTTGTTTATTATCAATAGTCTGCAGAGATGGATCGTGATTTATTATGAAGAATCTGTCCTAAAAGTCGTTTATTAGAGTTTGATGTTTTCTTACTCTTATAAATAAAATTTTTATTACATTTTATTGTATAAAACACAATAAATTATACTTTAATAATAAAAATAGTATTCTGAATTATTACATATCAAAAATTTAATTCAATTGTTCGTGACAACTCTAAATAGTCTTTACTATTAAATTACAACTACCATCAATATGACCTTACCAAATCTTCTGCTAAAATTTACCATAAACCACAAATTAAGCTATATATTCTTTCACTTCCAATTGTGAAGAAGACCTTAAATATAAAATCAGAACCTCAATATGTTAGCTAATGTTCAAATTTAAACCTAATACAAGTGCTGCTAAGTTAAAATCAGGAAGTTAATATTTTAAGTTTTCGCTATAGAGAACTTAACCCTGAAAACTATAATTATAAATATGATCTGTTCGCCAAGAATGAGAACTTGAAATTCACTTTCGGGTTTCAATTTAGCAGCACTAAATAATTTAAAAAACAGAAAATTACCTTCTGAAATGTAATTTTTCTGTATAGAGTGGCATTTTAACTTCTGTTAAGTATGCTTTTAAATCCTACCAGAGGTTATAAATAGAATACATGAATAAAAATTGAGCTAATGAATGATCTTATTAATGATAATCTCGTAATCTGCCAATCATATTCACATTATATGATATCCTATTTGGGATTTGGTCGAAAGTTTTGACTTGTCTCAAATATAGTTTGGGTTACGACACAATTGTAAAATCTAGTAAAAACTTTTGGGATTCTACTAAGTCCCAAATTACCAGGTTTGGTTTACAGCCATAGATTAGGTACAGTATGTATATACTAATTCTAAAATGGCAATTTTACTTGTGACCTGTCTCACAAATAACCTGTGCATAATAAGCTTTGCAAGGTGATACAGATAAATTTTACATGCGGAATTTATTTTAACATGTTAGATTGAAAAAATTATCTACGTATACGTAACAATAAATTTTTATTATCATTATTACACAAAATTGGTAATTCTGATTTATTCGAGAATTTTCACATTCACATCGCCTATATATTCCCTCTGCTAATTTTTTGCATATCTTACAATATAGATGTAAATAGTGATCGCATTCGTCACAAACCTTACACCTGTGCTTCCAGCCTCTAAAGATGTGCCACTTTTCGAAGCAATTTTGTTTATCTTTACGTATGAGTATGCTATTCTGACCTTTCATTGT